TTGTTCACATATTGTCTGTTTTTGTATTGCACCCCCTTCCCTACGATTGTAAGCCGCCCTGAGTCCCCTCAGGGAAAAGGGCGGCCTATAAATCCCAATAAAATGAGGAAAAAAAATGAGCTGGTCATTAGGACAGAGAACTGGTTGTTCAATTATTTGAATCCCACCACTGATAATAACTGTTGTTGTAATAATACTGAAAATACTTTGTTGCTTAATTGTAGGCTTTTTAAAAATTGAATGGCAATAATCTATTTGTACAGATATTTGTGGGGTGGGGCGGTGGGGGATGAAAATGCTTTCTAAATGTTTTTATTAAAGATCTTACAATACATCTAACAATGCATGCCAACTTATTTCACTAACTGGAAGCATATTATATTTTATTCCAGATAGAAATGAGCTATGAAGTAAGTACTGGGCAATTGGTGGAATCAACTCACTTCCAGCAGTGAGTTGATTTCCTAGAGAGGATTCAAAAAACCAAATACAATATCTCTAGAACACCAATCAGTATTCCTCCTTTCCCCCCACCCCCTGCTCCCCCCTTTGCATCCATATGGAAAAGGAGAAGGAAGAGGGTCAAGTCTAGTTGCTGAGTCTCTTCGGTGGCTGTACCTTGATAATTATGCTGATTTAATAATAATAATTGTAACCATTCTAAGACCTTGAGAAGAATAAAATTCTCCAATAAAAAAAAATACAAATCCAGGCAGTTCTATTTGGTGGATTGTGTGTAAATAACAAAGGAGGAGAAGGAAGAGCAGAAAGAGGAGGAAGTGGAGGAGAAGGAGGAAGAGCAGCAGGAGGAAGATCAGGAAGAGGGGGAGGAAGAGGAGGAGGAAGAGGAGAAAAGTGACAGTATTTATCTTCTCCTTTGGAAATTGGGAAGATTCAAAATTGTCACTGCAGGAGCGATCCTTCCAGCCTGTGATGTGCATGTTGCTGGCACCCAAAGTGATTCTAATGATTGGTAGAGTGTCGTGCAAAGAAAGAGAAACCTCTAAATTGCAGTGCCCTACACACACATCAATAAAGCAAGGCTTTCAGACTTAAATGGATGAAGCTGGCAAATGTCTACATCTGCTCTGCATCAATTTATGTCATAAAATGTTCACAAATATATAAGTAAATGAATAAATTGACAGCACTCCAAAGCCAAGCTTTTTATTAGATGAGCTATACCAATAGGTTAAATACCAGAGCCTTTATCCAGACCTTATTCAATCCATATACAGCAGGAGTTTTGCCTGGGGATAAAACCAAAGGGCCCACAGAAGGAGGATGCGCTGTTAAAGCTTATGTTGTTAATCTCACTCATATGCAAAACTACTAAGGGAAACATCCAGGAAATAAACATATTTATGTTTTGGATGTACTGACCTTCTGAAATTATATATTGAAATGCAAGTGTACAGTCCATTCTAAATTAAGTACATTTGAATCTCATCGTTTCCAACATAGGGTTTGAGGGTTCAAAAAAACACCCCCAATGAAATAAAACTCCAAGGCTTGGGTTTCCTCAAAGTTCCACTTTATTAGAGCTGTCAGGTTGGCACATCTGGGAAAACCC